CAGTCCTGGTCCTTGGAGCGCCTGCCCCAGCCTTCACCAGCACCGTCACAGGCTTCCAGAGCAGCAGCGCGAGCCCTGAAGCAGCCAGCCCTACTACAGCCCGAGGCAGCACCACAGATGCCCCAGAGACCAGGGCCTGGAGACGGGGGGGCATCTCATCTGCCCCCGACGCCAATGCCCAGTAGGCAGCAGTACCCAATGCCATCAGGGGCAGTCCCCAGCGCACAAAGAGCATGGGCGGCTCAGGGCTCTTGAGATTACCATAGCGGCGAAGCCACAAGCGCACAGCAGCTAACAGGGCCACCAGCGCTGCCACACAAGCTCCATACCACAAATTCTTGGCTCGACCACCCACCATGGACGCCAGAGGACTCAGCCAGGGAGAGGAGTTGCAAACAGGTGTCTCTTCAGGGCAACGATGAAAAAGCCCAGCTAGCCTTGTACATAAAAGCAACCCAACTCCGAGCCTCAGGGCATATGCACCATTGTGCCGTGGGGAGTTTGTTGTGGCTGAAGTGCCAAGGCGGGGCATTGTTAGCAGCTTAGGTGGAAGGAGCTGGCCCTCCCAGTGAAGCTGGACAACCAGTAGCAGGATGAATGAGCCCAAAAGGAAGGGGGTGGCCCTGGCCTCAGCTACAACAAAACTATCAGAGAAGAACACAGCCAAGCGAATGAGCAGGAATAATAGGACGGGCCTAGGGATGGGAAAGAGGGTTGCCAGGGGCCTCTTGGATCCCCAGCCAGCCCAGGCTTTCCACAGAAAGGGCAGGAATGAGCTTACTGCAGCCACAGCTCCTAGAAGCACTAGATCTAGCTTCAGCTCAATAGTTCCCAGGAGTACAGCATACACTGCGGCCCCAACCAGGCCCCAGGCCACAGGTATCAGGAGTAGAGGGCAGAATGGGAAGCCTGGGGATATTGCCCACTGGGATGCCATCAGGCAGATAAAGCAGGCAACAGCCAAGAGAGCAGCACCCCCTGCCATGCGGACCAGAGAGAAACGAGCCCAAGACTCGATGCACATGGCCCGAGCTCCCCGCAGGAACTGCTGCAGTTCAGCAATCACAGTCGGCAGTGTCGCCTCAGCCCCTTTGGGCCTCTGCAGAAGCCACTGGTAGTCAGCAGAGGCCTTGGAGAAGAGTTTCTGTAGCTGATGAAGCTTCTTAGCTTGAAGGTTCTCAGTAGCAGCTGAGTATGTATGAAGAAATCTGGACACCTGGTAGAGAAAAGGTCAGAGGCCAAGCAGAACAGGTCAGAGACATACACTGGAGCAGAGGCAAGAATAGGTATTACAAAAGGGGGTACCTGGAAATCAAGTACCCAAATTCTGTCCAGGATGGGGGAAAGGAGAGATAACAGAAGAGGAATATAGGTATGGAAGGTGGGATTAAGACTAGTCAAAGGACAATAGAGTGGTTAATTATGCTTCTCTCATGCCCACCCTAGCTCTGTCACCTGGAATCTCAGCCCCACTTACCTACCTGCTGAGCATTGAGATGGAGAGCTGAGGCTTGGGCTAAAGCAGAGGAGAGGGGCTGGGAGTCCTCACCCCCTGAGAATACCTCAGTCATCACTTCCCCGATGTTCCCAAATGGGATAGGCAGGCCCAGCAGCAAGGCCAGTGTGGGCACAAGGCTAACTTGAGGAATCACCTCTGGCTCCTAAAGGGAAAGGTAAGTGGTCAACAGGTTCATCACAAAGCTGAAGTCAATGTTTTAGATGGGAGACATAGGAGCCTAGGTAAGAAATGGGAGTGGGGAATACCCAGGATAATGGATTTGGGGACCTAAAATAGAGGTATTCATGAGGATGCTATGATGGTACCATGGGCTGATTACTGGGAGAACATTTGAGGAACATCCCAAGCCTCACCTCTGGTGGGATGCTGGGGAAGAGTGCTGTGGGGCTGTACAGAAAGAGTGCAGCTGAGACCTCCAGCTCACTGTCCCCTCCATGGTCTCCATTCGTGGTCATCCCGTGGTCCCCAGCCACTACTAGCAGTGTGTCATTCTCCAGATGCTCCACAAGTCCCCTGGGGGCCAAGAAATGTATCAGGAGTAGAAATAGGTATTTTTCTCAAGGGCCTATTCACCCTCAGCTATAACTCCATTAGTAACGCCTAGACCTTTGGCAGAGAGAAATGTCTTCGGCCATGATCCTGATGCCCAAAGCTACACATTGAGGTATTCAAGATGGATGAGGCCTCTAGCTTCAGAGGAAGGTCTAGAGAAGACAGAATTCAGCCAGGAAAGAAGCTCTAAAATAAGAGCTTCTTCTCCTGGGACCACATATCCTGAGATTCTCAGACACAAACCCACTCCCCCAGCCAATACCCCACACTCACTGTATCACCTGGTCCATCTGGCTAAGTTTCTTGGCCATTTCAGGGTGGTGAGGGCCATGCTTATGGCCACAGTGGTCCACACCCAGGAAGTGAGCAATCAGCACGTCCCATTCACCACTGTCCACTATGAAGGAGAGAACACTGAGCACAGAGGACTAAGACCCACTCCTCAACCCCAGCCAGCCTTTGACACTCCTCTATGTCCAGGAATACAAGCCCAGGCTGTTACACACATGGGAGGCTCAGAATTTGTGGACTAAAGCAGTTTTCCCCAGCTCCCAGTCTTAGAACTAATGTTCTGGCCTCATGCTCACTGGTGGGGTAGAGGTGTTCCAGGATGCCATTGTCCACTGTGTCAAGGTCTCTGACATTGAAGGATGGGAAGAAGAAAGCTTTGGAGAAAGCTCCAGGGAAAAGGTCTTTCCAGGTATCATCTCCCATAAAGACTACACGCCTTCCTGCAGTGACATGAAAGAGAGGTCAGAGCCTGAACAAGAGTCAGGGTCAGGAGAAAAGAGGAAAAGAGGCCATTTAAAGACCCATCAGAAGTCCCAACCATGCAACGTAAAGCACAGCAATTGCATACAGCAATCCTTATCCTTCAGGGCCTAACATTTTCCACCAGGAAGCTTTCCCTGATAACCATACTACACACAGACCTCATACTTATCTTTCCTACAAAACGCTCTGCTAGTTATGTCTCTGGGTGTCTCTACAGATTTGTTTTACCTGGGTGTATCCTGCCTTTTACAAGTCAGTGAGTAAAGAGGGCCTGGATCTCTCTGCTTTCTTCTCCACACTTGCAAGCCAAGATCCACATCTTTTCTCTTCTCTTCCCTTCTCCCTTTTACTGAGAGGTCTCCAAGAGTAAAACTTGCACTCCATTCAGATGAGAAACTTCTTAAGAATAGGCCGGGCGCGGTGGCTCAAGCCTGTAATCCCAGCACTTTGGGAGGACAAGGTGGGTGGATCATGAGGTCAATAGATCGAGACCATCCTGGTCAACAAGTGAAACCCTGTCTCTACTAAAAGTACAAAAAATTAGCTGGGCATGGTAGCGCATGCCTGTAATCCCAGCTACTCAGGAGGCTGAGGCAGGAGAATTGCCTGATCCCAGGAGGCGGAGGTTGCGGTGAGCCGAGATCGTGCCATTGGACTCCAGCCTGGGTAACAAGAGCGAAACTCCGTCTCAAAAAAAAAAAAAAAGAACAAAGCCCAGATCCCTTCTCCTCTGTCCCCCAAACTGAGGTCCCTAAAGGCAGGGCTCTGGCCTCCTTCTTCTCCTCTGTCTCCCTACACCATAGTCAAGTGTGCATCTGGGCATCCAAAGGTCTGAGGAAATTTGACAACGTACTTCTGGCCTTCAAAGTGGCCCACACTGACCTGCACTGGTGAGCTGCTTAATGAGATTGTCTTCCACTATGGCGTGGCTGGCGAAGTTACTACCAGCATCAATAAAGGTAGGCAGTGAGCCAGTGGTGAGGGCCTTGAGGCGCTGCATGGTGGTGGTAGGCGGGTCAACCTGAGATCGGTAGAGCCGGGCATGGTGGGGCTGAATCTCCAGGATCCTCTTCAAGGAGCTTAATTTGCCCAGGAAGGGTAGGGAGACAGGAGGCTCTCCAGGTGCATGTGAGTGCTGGGGCTGGGCGAAGTCAAATCGCAGAGCATCTATTAGCACCAACACAACCCGTGAAAATCGGGAAGCCATCCAGCAGGCCCCAGGTTTCCCTTGGCTCCCCGGTGGCAGGGACCCAGGGCCTGGAGGCTCTTGGCAGCTGCTATGGTTGGTGAGCTCCAAACGGGTGAGCAGGAAGCCACTGGTGAAGAGGGTAATGCCGGTGTAGAAGAGGAAGCAGACCCAGGCCAGGAAGAGCAGCACTGAGGCTTTCTGCATCCTAATAGGGGTGGGGAAGGAAATTCGTTACCATGGGGCAAATAACCAGTGGATATTCTGGTTCCTGAATACAAGCCCAGCTAGAATCACTTCCTCCTGTAAACCTTCCTGGAGATAAACCGTCCCATAGCCAACCCATCACAGTATTCCTCTCCTGCTATTTCCAGGCTGTAATCCCAGCACTTTGGGAGGCCGAGGTGGGTGGATCACCTGAGGTCAGGAGTTCAAGACCAGCCTGGCCAACGTGGTGAAGCCCTGTCCTTACTAAAAATACGAAAATTAGCTGGGTGTGGTGGTGTGCACCTGTAGTCCCAGCTACTCAGGAGGCTGAGGCAGGAGAACTGCTTGAACCCGAGATGCAGATGTTGCAGTGAGCCGAGATGGCGCCACTGCATTCCAGCCAGGACAACAGAGCAAGACGCCGTCTCAAAACAAAATAAAACCTATTTCCAGTTCCCACCCCAGATCTACTGAATCAGGATCTTTGAGGGGTGGAGCATAGGAATGTTCACATATACAGTCAGGAAATCCTAATGCTGAAAACACACAGTCACGAGGGAAACTTATTTCAATTGGTAGCCAGGCTCCTTACAGGCCGTTTCTGCGCCTCTCCCCTCGCCAATCTCAATACCCACAAGGGTGGAAAGGGATCCAAGCCTCAGGGGAAACCGGGCCCAGCCGACGGCGCCGCCTAGCGGGGACCGAGGGGACGAAGGGGAGGAGTCACGCCCCGCTTCCGGGCAGCCAGGTTCGCTTGGAGAACTGAGGCACGATCTTCGCCACGCAGCGAGGCAGGGGCGCGGGTCAAGAGCCGGTTGGGCCTCGCTGGGACCCAGGCGTCCAACCAGCTCTGCCTCCTCTGGTAGCTACCCAGCCTCCCGCTGGGCACCCTAGCTGCGGTACTGAGCACCCTTGGTTGGGAGCTGAGGGGAAAGGGTAGACTCCCTTATTTCAGGGTGAGGGGAATACGGGGGGTGAGGTTCTCGGGAGACCCTGGCTCACCTGCAACGGCACCCGGAAGTGCGACGGTGGCAGCGCCTGCGGCCTGGCACCACAGAGGTGCGCGCGTCAGACAGAGCGGCCCGCCGGTGGCTCCATCGCCATCTGCCGGCACCTCAGTGGAAGTTTGGCCAGGAGCGTGGGGCTGGCCAGAGTCTGATGGGAGATTTAGTAATTGAGAACTGGGGATGAGGGACCAAGCTGGAGGAACAGTTCAGGAAACCACTGTCCGTTCATGGTTACGACTAAGAGCATGGCTGCTGGAGTCAAACTTAACTTGAATCCTAGCTCGGCCGCACATATTGTCATTATTAGGCATTACCTCATCTGTAAAGTAGAGATAAATAATACTTATTTTCCCCTTTTTGCTTAGCTGAGTCCAACTGAGATTTCAATAATCCTCCTCTCAAAGCCTCTAACTGAATCTTACAACTGAATAATTAAGCAAATAATCCTTCGGAATAGAGGAGGGGAGGCCGGCCAGGCGTGGTGGCTCACACCTGTAATCCCAGCACTTTGGGAGGCCGAGGTGGGTGGATCACCTAAGGTCAGGAGTTGGAGACCAGACTGGCCAACATGGCGAAACCGCGTCTCTACTGAAAATACAAAAATTAGCTGGGCGTGATAGCGGGCGCCTGAGATTCCAGCTACTTGGGAGGCTGAGGCAGGAGAATCAGTTGACCCTGGGAATCAGAGGCTGCAGTGACCCGAGATTGAACCACTGCACTGCAGCCTGGGCGACAAAGCAAGATCTTGTCTCAAAAAAAAAAACAGAGTCAAAGAGGGGAAAAAAACAAATTATCAAATTAAATCAAATTAATGGACAAAGAAGATATAAAAATAGCCAATAGACACATGGAAAGAAGCCATCAGGAAATGCTGGAGATACTGCTTCGAACACATGAGGATGGCTGTAGTCAACAAGTGTTGGCAATGAGGAGGAGAAATTAGAATCCTCATAGGCCGCTGGTGGGACTGTAAAAACAGATAATTCAAAACTATTAACATAATTATCAAATGACCCAGCAATTTCAGCCCTAGGTATAAACCCAAGAGGAATTAATATTTATGTCCAAACAAAAACTTGTACATGAATGTTAATAGTAGCCTTATTCATGGCTGGGTGAAATGGATCACACCTGTAATCCCAGCACAAAATTTACCCCGGTGTGGTGGCATGTGCCTGTAGTACTAGCTACTCAGGAGGCTAAGGTGAGAAGACTACCTGAGCCTGGGGAGGTCAAGGCTGCAGTGAGCTGTGATCTCACCATTGCACTCCAGCCTGGGTGACAGAGTAAGACCCTGTCTCAAATAAATAAATAAATAAAATAGCCTTATTCCTAACAGCCAAAATGTGGAAGCCCAAATATCCATTACTGACAAATTGATAAACAAAAAAATGGTGTATTTATACAATGGAATATTGTGGAGGGGGGATCTGAAACAGTTGTAAACTTGTGGTGGTTGCACAATTCTGTGAATATACTAAAAGTTACTACATTTATATTTTAAATGAAATAATTGTATGATGTATGAATTCTATCTTGAACTCCTGGGCTCAAGCAATCCTCCAGACTCGGCCTCCCAAAGTGTTGGGATTATAGGTGTGAGCCACCATGCCCAACCTGATGTGTGACTATTTCAATAAGGCCACTGTTAAAAACAAAACAGTCTGGGTGAGGTGGCTCACACCTGTAATCCCAACACTTTGGGAGTCTGAGGCAGGTGGATCCCCTGAATCCAGAAGTTCAGGACCAGCCTGGACAACATAGTGAAACCCCGTCTCTACAAAAAATACAAAATTTAGGTGGACATGGTGACAGGCACCTGTAGTTCCAGCTACTCCAGAGGCTGAGATGGAAGGATTGCTTAATCCAGGGAGGTAGAGGCTGCAGTGAGCCTTGATCAGGCCACTGCACTCCAGTCTGGGCACCAGAGCAAGGCCCTGTCTTTTTTTTTTTTTTTTTTTTTTTTGAGATGGAGTTTTGCTCTTGTTACCCAGGCTGGAGTGTAATGGCATGATTTCGGCTCACTGCAACCTCCGCCTCCTGGGGTTCAAGCAATTCTCCTGCCTCATTCTCTAGAGTAGCTGGGACTACAGGCGTGCACCACCATGCCCAGCTAATTTTTGTATTTTTAGTAGAGACAGGGTTTCACCATGTTGACCAGGATGGTCTCAATCTCTTGACCTCATGATCCACCCACCTCAGCCTCCCAAAGTGCTGGGATTATAGGCGTGAGCCACTGCGCAAGGCCCTGTCTTAAAAGGCCAGCCGGGTATGGTGGGTTACACCTGTAATACCAGCTCTTTGGGAGGCTGAGGCAGGTGGATCACAAGGTCAGGAGGAGTTCAAGACCAGTCTGGCCAAGATGGTGAAACCCCATCTCTCTCTCTCTACTAAAAATACAAAAATTAGCAGGCCAGGCAGGGTGGCTCACACCTGTAATCCCAGCACTTTGGGAGGCCAAGGCGGGCAGATCACAAGGTCAAGAATTCAAGGCCAGCCTGGGCAACATGGTGAAACCCTGTCTCTAAAAACAAAATAAAACAAAAAAATTAGCCAGGTACAGTAGTGGGTATCTGTAACCCCAGCTACTCTGGAGGCTGAGGCAGGAGAATCACTTGAATCCGGGAGGTGGAGGTTGCAGTGAGCCAAGATCACACAACTGTACTCTAGCCTGGGCGACAGAGCAAAACTCCATCTCAAAAATAAATACAAAATTTAGCCAGGCATGGTGGTGTGTACCTGTAGTCCCAGCTACTCAGGAGGCTGAGGCACGAGAATCGCTTGAAGCGAAGAGGCTGAGGCTGCAGTGAGCCAAGATCGTGCCAATGCACTCCAGCCTGGGTGATGGAGCAAGGCTGTCTCAATAAAAAAAAGAATTTGGTGTTGAAAAAAGAAACAAACCAAACCAAAACCTGTCCAAGCGTTTATCTCAGAGTAAAAGTTCTTGCATTGGCTTTACAGGGCCCTGCACACTATCTGCCCCTTCCCTTTCTGATTCATCTAGCTGCCACTTCTTTGCTTCCCTAACTCTATTCCATTCACAGCAGCTCTGCCTCCGGGCCTTTGCATTTGCAGTCTCCTTTGTCAGCTTTAGTTCCAGATGCCCAAATGGATCTCCATCACCTTCATATCTAAGCTCAACTGTAACATCAGTGAGGCTTCCTGGAATCCCCTACTTAATAGTATAGCACCTTCTGCCATCATATCCCCTGCAAAAATTCCCCCTCTCACTTCCTTAATTTCTTCCACAGCACAATTTATCAGCATCTGAAATTCTACACATATTTATGGTTTGTCCCCTCCAAGTAGAATGTGAGTTCATTGAGGTCAGGGAATTTTGTTTTCTTCATTATTATATCCTCAGCGCCTAGCATATAACTGAGGTTCAGATACTGACCAAATGAATAAAGGAATACATTAACTCAAAAAAATGTTGAGTCATTCTTCCACCTTTATCCCCAAGGCCCCTTATCTCAGTTCAGGCCTCATCCCCTCTCCAGGATCACTGAGACAGCCTTCTCACTGTCCTCCCAGTCTCCTATGGCTCCCTACTATCCCTTCTCCACATTGCAGCAGAACAGCTCTATCTAAAACATTAACGTGATTACTTTTCTTTTTCTTTTTTGTAGAGATGGCGTCTTACTGTCCATCATTGCCTAGGGTGGTCTCCAATTCCTGTGTTCAAGTCATCCTCCTGCCTCGGCCTCCCAGAGTGCTGGGATCACAGGTATGAGCCACAGTGCCCAGCCAGTGTGATGTTTTGTCTTAAAATTATTCATGGGAAGGGGGGAAAAAAAACTCTTCATGGTTTCCCTATTACCCTAGGGATAATGTCCAACCCCTTCACAAGAATCTCGCTCCCTGTGACTTGACCCTTGCCATGTAGTCACATCCCCCTTAACACTATACCCTTCAGCCAACTTCTTTTTTTTTTTTTTTTGGATGAAGTTTCACTCGTTACCCAGGCTGGAGTGCAATGGCACTACCTTGGCTCACCATAACCTCCGCCTCCTGGGTTCAGGCAATTCTCCTGCCTCAGCCTCCTGAGTAGCTGGGATTACAGGCATGCACCACCATGCCCAGCTAATTTTTTGTATTTTTAATAGAGACGGGGTTTCACCATGTTGACCAGGATGGTCTCGATCTCTTGACCTTGTGATCCACACGCCTTGGCCTCCCAAAGTGTTGGGATTACAGGCGTGAGCCACTGCCCGGCCCAGCCAACTTCTTTCAAGCAGTGAGGCTTTGTATATTCTGGTCCAGGACCTGATGAAAACGTGCTAATTTTTCCAGCCTGAGCACAATGGCAGTCAGCAACCCTGCTACTCACAAGCTGATATGCTCCTCCCACCAGGATCCCAAAGCCAGAACTTTCCTCTATCACAGCATTTATCATTTTCTTTTCTTTTTTTTTTTTGAGACAGTCTTGCTCTGTCCTAGGCTGGAATGCAGTGGCATGATCTCAGCTCACTACAAGCTCCGCTTCCCAGGTTCAATCAATTCTGCTGCCTCAACTTCCAGAGTAGCTGGGACTACAGGCACGCACTACCACGCCTAGCTAATTTTTGTATTTTTAATAGACATGGGGTTTCACGGCTGGGTGCGGTGGCTCATGCCTATAATCCCAGCACTTCGGGAGGCCGAAGTGGGTGGATCACAGGGTCAACAGATTGAGACCATCCTGGTCAACAAGGTAAAACCCCGTCTCTACTAAAAATACAAAAATTAGCTGGGCATGGTGATGCGCGCCTGTAGTCCCAACTACTCGGGAGGCTGAGGCAGGAGAATTGCTTGAACCCAGGAGGAGGCAGAGGTTGCGGTGAGCCGAGATCATGCCATTGCACTCTAGTCTGGGTAACAACAGCAAAATCCGTCTCAAAAAAAAAAAAAGGAGATAAGAGTTTCACCGTGTTGGCCAGGATGGTCTGACAACAGCAAAACTCTGTCTCAAAAAAAAAAAAAAAAAAGAGATAGGGTTTCACCGTGTTGGCCAGGATGGTCTGGATCTCTTGACCTCGTCATCTGCCCACCTCGGCCTCCCAAAGTGCTGGGATTATAGGCGTGAGCCACCATGCCTGGCCACATTTATCACTTTCTATCACTGTCTGCTTCCTTGTCTTGTCTTCCTTACCTGATCTTGTATTCTGTGAAAGCAGGGGCCACTGGATTTCAGTTGTTTTTGTAATCTATTGTCTAGCAATGAGCTTGGCACTCATCAGACATTCAATGTTTTTGAATAAATGAATGAGTACCCTCAGTCCCTGAAGACTCTTTAAGCATGCAACAGTACTACTCTGCCGGTGCAGAAAAGACCCCCCCAAACACCTGCCTTGAATGCACAGCCCCACACTTAGCAGGAAGGGGACTTCGCTTCCCAGTGAGCAGTTCAGTGGACATGTGGTTTAATTCTTCCACCCTATCCCACAGTTTCTCTTGAAGAAAAAAGATAGTTTCACTTTACACGAAATTCACTCTTGTTCAGAGGCATCATGCTGACAGGACTGGATCCAAGGAAAACACTAGTGACTTTCCCAACTTCATTCCACAATCAAAGAGGACAGTTTCTGGTTTGCCATGGTGAGTTTATTACATGACTAAAGTTCAAATAAAAAAATAAAAACCAAAATCTTGGCAGGCAAGCTAGAGCAAGAATCAGGAAATGTTGCTTCCTTGTCCCCAGACTCCCTGACCAAGCCCAGATCCACTAACTCAATTTGACTCGATCAAGTTCCTCATCAAGACTTGCATCTGTACTCTGGACATCTCTGCTACTCCCACTGGAGACCGAGTGTGGATCCCCTGGTGCTGGGGCTTTGGTGAGGGCTCCATATACACCCATGGCCTGAGGAGAGGGACAGAGAGTACCATGAGGACATTTGACAGAGGTGCAGCCCAGCCTATTGATGGCTAAAAGGGAAAAGATGGCATGGGGGCCAGTGAGTTGGTTTTCCTTCCTCCCTCTCTCAATCCTGTCTTGTAAGCTCTGGAGTTGATTTTAGGAATCTTTTTTTTTTTTTGAGACGGAGTTTCACTCTTGTTACCCAGGCTGGAGTGCAATGGCGCGATCTCGGCTCACCGCAACCTCCACCTCCTGGGTTCAGGCAATTCTCCTGCCTCAGCCTCCTGAGTAGCTGGGATTACAGGCACATGCCACCATGCCCAGCTAATTTTTTGTATTTTTAGTAGAGATGGGGTTTCACCATGTTCACCAGGATGGTCTCAATCTTTTGACCTCGTGATCCACCTGCCTCAGCCTCCCAAAGTGCTAGGATTACAGGCTTGAGCCACCACGCCCGGCTGATTTTAGGAATCTTACAAACCATCGGAGTAAGGTAACTCTCAGAATACCAACACAGGTATCTGCCAAAAAAAGAAATCTCAAGAATTTCTATATTTGCAGGACTGAGTAGAGATGTTTCATTCTTAGATTCCATCTCTACAAAGAATGAAGGGAGGTGTAGGGCCAAAGGCACTCTGAAGACCTTTATGGTATGTAAGTGTTTTTTTTTGAGACAGAGTTTCGCTCATGTTACCCAGACTGGAGTGCGATGGCACAATCTTGGTTCACCGCAACCTCCGCCTCCTGGGTTCAAGCAATTCCCCTGCCTCAGCCTCCTGAGTAGCTAGAACTACAGGCATGTGCCACCATACCCAGCTAATTTTTGTATTTTTAGTAGAGATGGGGTTTCACCATGTTGACCAGGATGGTCTCAATCTCTTGACCTCGTGATCCACCTGCCTCGGCCTCCCAAAGTGCTGGAATTATAGGCGTGAGCCACCACGCCCTGCCTGGTATGTAAGTGTTGATGACGGTGGTGGGGTCTCAGTTTAGGCCCTGGCACTGGTACTCTGTGCTGGGTCCTCAGAGAGGTCTAACCTGAGCCACCATGCTTGTGACATCGCCAGGGTTGGAGGGCAGTAGGATAGTGTTGGAGTCCTTGGCCAGTTTGGAGAATGCGCTGACATACTGCTCCGCCACAGTCAGTGAAGCTGCTGCATCTCCATTCTGTGACCACAGGGGTTTAAAATCAGACATGGAGAAGGGGTGGACGGGGAATGAAGAAAGCAGTTCACAATAAAAAGGACCATGTAATCTGGCTCAACAGAGCTCACAGAGGCAGGAACTCTCATCAGGGGTAGATAAGAGAACCCCTTCCACTGTGAATGCCTGTCCCCCATTCCCACCCAGGGGCCTCTCACATGTTGTGTCAGAGCTGCAGCCAAGATTCGAATAGCTTCAGCTTTAGCCTTCGCCTTGGCCAGAACTGCACTGGCTTCTCCTGCAAGAAAAGGGACAGAGCTTGCTTGACCCATCAAGTCAAGAGTACCCCAAAGCTCCTGCCCCAGAACCAATCTTCAAAGGACCATACCTTGCTCCTCCCTGAGCCTCTACCCTCTCCTGACCTGCTGCTTGATTTATCTGTTCAGCCTTTTCTGCTTCAGAGGCCAGGATCTGGGCCTGTTTCTTCCCCTCTGCCACGTTGATGGCCGACTCTCGGGTCCCCTCAGACTCTAGAACTGTGGCCCGTTTCCGCCGTTCTGCCTCCACCTGGAAGCCAACCACAACCCCAATCAACAAGCCAAGGGAAACCCACACAGACCTGCAACTCTACCCATCACGACAGGAGGGGAGTCTGGATCCTCCTGGGACTGGAGCACCCTGAGGTCCTTTTCTCACCCCCGCTTGGCCCCTACCTGCATCTGCATAGACTCTTTCACCCGGGGTGGCACATGGATATCCTTGATCTCATAACGAAGGCAGCGGATACCCCAGCAGTCAGCAGCCTGGTTGATGGCATCCACAATGCTCGCATTCAGGGACTCCCGTTCCTGGAGAAAGAAAAGAATAAGCCCCACAGCCTCAACCTACCTATCAAGGGCCTAAACTGAGACGGGCCTGGGACTGATCTTGACCTTTAGAAAGGATTGGGAGTGTCAGGTTTGTGCCTTCAAACCCTAACTCTGGCTGAGATCTGCTTACCCGGAAGACTTTGTCCAGAGAGAGTTTGCCGAGCTCTGATCTCATGGTTGTCTGAGCTAGCTGGGTGACAGCATACTCGGGGTCCTCCACACCATAGCTTGCCTGAAACGGGCATGGACAGTGTAAGAAGCTTGGGCGCAAGATTTCAGTGAAGAGGGCAACCGAAAAGGCTGGATAAAGTAGGGGGCAGATACCTTGTAAGGGTCCATGATGCGCAGGTAAAGGACTCCATCGATTTGCAGAGTTACATTGTCTGTAGAACCAGGAGAGAAATGGAGGAAAGTCAGGCCTCTAAGTCCCAACCAGTTCTTTCTCCTACACTCTGGATCTACAGCAACCACATCCTAACAGTCTCAGAGCACCCATGTCACCCTGAACCCCTCACCGAGAGTCACAGCCGACTGCTCAGGCACGTTGATGACAATTTCCTTGAGACTCTGCACATATCGGATCCGGTCTAACACAGGGATGAGGATGTTCAAACCCTGGGAAGAGGAGTCATGGGTCCTCAGAAGGATGGGAACTATGGGATTGGGACCTAAGCGAGTCCTGAAGTATGTAGGGAGTCAACACGTGGAACATGCCCAGAAAAGCAGCAGCCCCCACCAAGAAATAAGTCCTCAGAAGACTGAGGTGTTACTGGTAAGAAAACCCAAGAGAAGAGGAATGCAAGACTAGGCCCCTGAATGGAGGGGAGAGTTATGAGAATTGGAGCCAGTAGAATAGCCATCTCTATGGATACTAAGTGGTAGGGCAGGGGAGATTCCCAAGAATGGGACCTGTGAGATGCATAGGAAAAGGTGATAACATGGGGCTGATGGTCAGTAGCCTGGGCCTTTCAAGTCTGGCCTGCAGAGTTGGGAGCTAACAATGCGGGCAGGCCCAAAGGAGGTCCTCCCAACACTCCATGTCGTGAGGTATTGGTCATCTGGTTGGCCCAGGGTGGGCAGAAGAGGTTCTCACAGGCTCCAGGATCCGATGGAATCGGCCCATTCGCTCCACCACCCAGGCCTCCTGCTGTGGCACAAACAGTACCACGGTGTTTCGGGGCAATCCAGAGGAGGCGCGGCGCGGAGCGCGGCCGGAAGCCTGTAGAGAGCCCTGCAGGAAAGAAGTCGGTGAGCAGGGATCCCGTCTGGCCAGACACCCCGCCCCTTGGTCCTGAAGGCACATCCATAAACCACGACCCTCAGGATCCTCGGAGAGAGAATCACATGGGGACCATGACCTCTGACCCCAGTCCTCTCTCAACGTTGTAATTTCGCTCTTTCCCAGCGGAAGACCCAAGTGTTCTCTGTCCCGACCCTCTGGAAAGGTTGCCTTGCTCTCACCCTCAGCAAAAGGGCCCCAGTGCCCCGCGCCGCGCGCGCCAGCATTTCCCACCGCCTCAGTGACCTCCGGAACCAACGAGACGTGGAGCAGAGCGGTCGCTCCCAGAAGCCAACCCGAGCAGTTTCGCTCCCCGGATGTACCTCCGGCCGTTCCCTCCCTCTTTCGACACTCACCCAATCAGGGTTACTTGGTCTAACGCGCCTCAAGTTGTTCCCTGGGAAACGCAAAGCTTCCAGAGAAGGCCGAGGGCTGCGGTTGTTTTGGGTTTAGCTATTCGCGGCCAAGATCCACGGCCTGGTGGCCAAAATGGAGGCTATTTTCCGCGTGCATATCACTCACAGACACCACGCGCTGAATTCTTCACCCTCACCTGAGACTCAGTTTGCCCTCCAGAACATAGAATCGCCCCGTCTGTCACTATAGCGACCAGTGGATTGGAGCTGACTCGTTGCCATGGTTGCCATAGTGACATTTTCTGGTAGTCCCGCTGTGCTGTGCCTTAGCCCTCCTACTGGGGACTGACCCCAATCTTGCTGCCATGGAAACTGGGCCTAACATTGCCTGGCGATTGGGTCGAGATTTTCCCCTCCCAACTTTTTTCAAGACACTCCGTCTTCCCAAGCAAGGTCCATCATGCCTAGTCTTACACAGAGTCCAGCAAACAGCCTGAGCGTTCAACCTTGTCTGGAGCATGTCACCGTGCACACATCCCTAATGCTCTGGTAGTCAAGAGACCTCCGTAGTCACCTCCATTTTACATATAAGGGCACTGACGCTCTGAGGGGCTACAGTCATGAACAGAACCAGTATTAGAATCCTGATCTTCAATTCAGAGTTTGGTGTCTACGGCTGAACTTCACCCACCAACCCCTCCGAAAAGAGCCAGACCAGGCCCCAAGAATCAGCAGGGACTAGCCTAAGACCTTATGGGCCCAGGCCTGTTGCCTCCTCTCTGGTAGGAAAGTCAGAGTCCCAACTCCAAGCAGGCTTCCATCACCCTTAACACCCTCTCCCCAACAACAACAACAAAAGTAGAGCTTAGTTCAAGTTTCCAAACAAGAATTTATTCTTTCTTTTTTAATCTTTTTTTTTTTTTTTTCCTAAAAAAAAGTACCAGGTACAATGTTTTCCTGTTTTTGTTGTTTTTTCAAGTTTCAGCAAATGCTTGTTCCCCTCAGCCCGGCCCCAGGAGTCAGGACTGAGGCTGGGTCAGAGTCTGGAGTGGGGAATGGGGTAGTTGGGAACCACATGACTGAGTTTGAGGAGTGCCCCTCACCCCAGCTGAGGTAGGTGGGTCAGAGTCTGGCCAGGTGAGAGGAGGCACCCCAGTCCTTGGCCCTGACTCTGCCCCCTGGACACCTTCTTCAGTCAGGACCCCAAAGCAAGGAGACACAGGAAGGGAGGGACAACTGGAGTCTGGAGCCCTAGGTGAGGGGTGGTTAACCCCTGTGTGTGTGTGCATACATGCACACTCCCTCTCACACACACATACCACACAAAGACAAGCTTGTGCGCACACACACATACGCATAACTTGGCTTTCAGAGAGAGGTCAAAGGGTAGGGGAAGTGAAGGGACTAGGGGAAGGACAGGGGAAACTGAGTCTTTGGCTACTGACTCAGTCCCTCTGGAATAACCCCTCTTCCCTCAGCTGAGAGAGAGTTCTCCTTCCACCCTCCAAATAAGCCTCTTCAACTCCTGAGGTTGGAGCAGTAGCTGAGAGTAGGAAAAGAGGGGGAGGGGGTGATGCCAATTACCAGGTGTGGGAAGTTACCAAGGCAATCCAATTTGAATAAATTATAAATTAAAAATAAATAAAATAATAAGTGGCCCCTGCCCAGGACAGGGAGGCAACGCTGGCATGACTTGCCTGGGAACTTGGGACAACCTCAGGGTAGCTCCGGTTCCTCTCTACTACCTAAGCTGGCCTGGGAAACCCAAGGGAGGGGACAGGCACATGGAGTACCCGAAGTAGGGCAGGGTGTAGTAAAGATCAGAAGCTTTAAACACCCAAATAATCCATTTGGGCGTGAGCACGATGAGGGCTTTAATTCAAGCCTGAAGGGTCTCTTGCCATCTCTCCATATATGCTCTCTGTCTAAGATGAAGCAGGATGGGCAGGTTGTTAGCCCACAAGGGTTCAGAGTGCTGGCAATCAGGGCAAAGGTGAATAACGTGGATTATGAGGGGCCTCGGTCACAGCCTGCAGTTCGTAGGGGAGTCCTGTATCCAGCTCTAGGCTCCGGCGGGAAAAAAGCAGGCGGATATCTCCATGCAGGCTTAAGCGGCCTGAGCGGGAGCTCCGGAACCTGGAGGAGGACAATGTGATCAAAGTAAGAATCCGGCTGGTTGCAGTGGCTCATGCCTCTAGTTCCAGTGCTTTGGGAGGCCCCAGTGGGAGGGCTGCTTAAGCCCAGGAGTTGGAGACCAGCCTGAGCACCATAGCGAGAACCCATCCCTAAAAATAAATAAATGTATAAATAAACATTTAAAAGTACACAAATAAGAATCCAGACAGTACCGAAGGAGAGAACCTCTTCAGGGAAGGGATACCTGGGCCTCCCCAGCTGTCCCTGGGCCCTCTCCTCACCTGAGGTGCAGCAAGTAGCAGAGGAGGCGGTGGGTGGGGTTAGCATTTCCCTCCTCACCCACAGGCACCAAAAAAAGACGATGACGCAGGAAGGTCATGTGGGCAGCAGGCATGTCCGAGAAGTCAAAGGTCACGAGGAACATCTTCACCACAGTCTGGTTGGGGTTAAATAAGGTCTGGGGGCAGGACAGTTAAGGTTGGTAGAGCCTGAGGGCTGCTTTCCTCTCTCTCCATTCCCACTCCCTCAGGGCAAACTCACCACTTGGATGGTGCCCACCTTGGGCACGCTGTAACCCTTCCTCCCCAGGGGTTTCAGATCCATGACGCCCTGGAAAGGACAGGGAGCCATGAGTCAAGGTGGGGACTAGGAAAACCCTGAGCCCTAAATACACATCCCTCTCTATAATCTCTCACCCTGACCCCGTCCCTGCCCCACTCTAGAGTTCTCCTCACCTTGCCCTGACCTGACTCACTCCTAGATGAGGAATAAGCAAGAAATACCTCTTGTCCCTTGGCCCTGCCCCCAACCCCTCATCCTCCTGATGAGCTGACTTTGGGATTGGAGTCAAGGCATACCAGGAAGGGAGCCGGGGCATTCTGCTCAGAAACATCAAAGAAGGTAACAGTGACAGGCAGCGTGACATGCTGGGGGCAGTAGGACCCACTAGCTCCAATCTCTGCTGTGAAGCCCTCAATGTGGCCAGATGGTGCAAAACGTTCTCGCAGCAATGATTCCTGGGGTTAGGGTGGGGAAAACACATTATGAGAGAGATGCTGATTCTTTTCCTTAGCCATCCAAGACACATTCCACCATCCCACCCCTCCCTGGACCCTCCCAGTCACAGAGCCCAAGGGGAGCTACCTCGAAGTTGCCCAGCAGGGTACGGCTGACAGCAGGGGTAGGAACAGGGGAGGCACTGGGGGCGCTCAGCAGGCCTGGACCCTTCCGGAGGTTTCGAAGGGGGCTCCTGGTAGAGGAGGGGACATACAGGGGGTTGGCTTGAGGTATTCTGGGATTCCTGCTTATGCCCTTGGCCTCCACCCTTTGCCACTATCCAGGGCCTCTGCCCTGGGGTACCCCTACTCTGGTACTGGAAAGAAGATTACAGACTTCTGCTCCCATTCTCAGCAACAGGGTAGAGGGAAAAGCTGGTCACTTACAGCTTCAGGCGACGGGCACCTTTCAGCCTCCTTCCCATGGGACTGCAGTCTGTTGGGTCCTATAGAGATAAAAGATTAGGAAAAGAGACTGGGTGAAGCCCATGTATGTTTTGGGGTAGAAGCTCATCACAAACTCTCAAAGGAATACCACGTCCCCCAGGCCTCCACCTTTACCCACACAAATATCCACTTAAGAGTACATAAAGGCCAGGCACAGTGGCTCACGCCTGTAATCACAGCATTTTGGAAGGCCGAGGCAGGTAGATCACTTGAGCTCAGGAGTTCAAGACCAGCCTGGGCAACATAGCAAAACCCCATCTCTACCAAAAAATCAGCTGGGTGCAATGTCATGTGCCTGTGGTCCCAGATACTCAGGAAGCTGAGGTGAGAGGATTGCTTGAGCCTGGTAGGAAGAGATTGCAGTGAGCCAAGATTGTACCACTGCACTCAAGCAGTGATGGAGTGAGAAAGAGTAAATGAGCTCCTTCATTGGCTTACCAAAACAGGCTCCTTGGGCCCAGGCAGCAGGTGGCTCCAGAAGGGTGTGGCTTTGGCATCAGAACTGTTGGCAGCAGTAGGGTGGCCCAGGGTTCCCCGGCGCCTCCGAGGGGCTGGCCCCTCTTCCTCAGAGCTGATATCTGGGGCTTCTCCAGCAGGAAGCAGCCTTCGCTTGGTGGGGCAGGGGCCTGGAGGTCCAGGGCCAGGGGGTGTGTGCTCGGGACTGTGCCCATTGGCAGTGCCAGGGGACTCCCTAGGCCAGAGGCTACGCCCATTACCCACCCCAGCCACTGGGCTCTTACACCCTATTTGTGCAAGACTGTGCAAATCAGTGTCAATTGTGTGCAGCTGGCCTGGAGGGGCTGGCCCCGGGGACGCCCCCAGGGAACCCTGTCCCCCTGGATCTGGGGAGGCCCAGTCTCTGGTGTGCAAAGTATTGCAGGAAGCATTTGATGGGGGGCAGGGGGGACTCCAGGCCCCTGAAGTCCAAGATGAGGTGACACTACTTCCCTGTTCCACAACACAGAGGCCACGGTGGGAGAAATGCTGGCTGGCCACACCTAGTCCCAGCCCCAGTCCCTCTGGGCCCAAGAGCCCCACAGTAGATGGTTCTTCAGGGGGTAATCCCTCTCTGGCCCCCAGCCCAGGACCTCTCTTCAGTTCCCGGGGACCCTCAGTGGGTGGGGCTGGTCGCTTCAGGGCCCTGTGAGGTTCAGAGGTACCAGCTGGAGGGGAAAAGATGGATACCTGGTAGACCCCAGGGGATGTCACCCCCCCTGCTGGGCTATAGCCCATGAGCAGGCCACCCTGGAGGGCCCCCTGTCTGACTGGAGGCTGTGAAGGGCCAGCCTCTGGCTCTGAGGATGGAGATGACTCCGCCTGCACGTGGCGCATGAAGCCCCCCTTGGGTCAGGGGGGCCCCCCAACACGGCCTTTATGCTGGGCCTGGGCTGGGGGGCCTGGGGACATCTGTGTAAGAAAAGAGAAGAAAAGGTGGTCAGGGGAATCAATGAGTTTTCTTCCTTCCAGCTGAGATTCAGACCCTCTCCTTGCCTGAAGAGGTGACTTTAATGAGTTCCCAGGGGTAAATGTATACAAATCCCTGGATGGACTAATGGAATATAGAGACCACTCTCAGAACTCCTGAGAAGGTGACAGGTTTAGCTGAGGCTTCTTACTGGACCTACTTCCCCCTCCCTCTCCCTGGCACTTACCCCGATGAAGAGGCTTTAAGCCTAGCTGTGCGTCCCCTCTTCCCAACTGATGCCTTGTGCCCCTAGCTTGCAGTCTGATCCATGCCTGCTGCACTGGCAAGGTGACTGCCACCATTCCGTGCAGCTCCTGGGCTCAGCAGGATCCTGAGGAGAGAAGAAGAGACATAAGCCAGGAACACTGGAGCCAGCAGTAAGGCCTGTCACCAATTACAGGCTAATATTGTATACCCCAGGACATCCTTCTCCCATGTGAGAGGCTCTTCAGAAACAGAGGGGGCAGCCTTGGGATCCAGGGCCCAGATGGCAGAGTTGGGCTACCTAAGGAGTCAGAGAGGCAGGTCTTGGCTCAGTGTAATAAGGTTGTGACAAGTAAGTTGAGGTAGAATAACTACTTGTCAGGGCCACCATTTGAGATTTCCTGCCCTACATGGAGGAAAGGATAAGAGACCCCCTAGATCCAAGAGATCAGGCCAGCTGAGAGGTAACCAGGGCCAGAATTCAGCTCTCTTAGTCAAAGCCACCAAATTGTACAACTCCTTATTTGTCTATCTCCAAAGAGACAACTGCCATCCTGGAGCACTAAGGCCAGAGGTCTTACAGTTACACCCCATCAGCAGTCCTCAGAGGTACAAACCTCAAGTCAGCTCAAAGTTGGCCCTTCAGCCCTAAACTCCAGATTGCCTTCAGCAGTCTGTCTCTTTAACAAGAGGCAACAAATCCGACTAAAAACAAGAGGGGGAAGGGGAAGGAGTCACTGCCAGAAGGCACTTTCCAGGGCCCTCCTGCAAGGCTCTGCAAACTAGAGATAAGGCTGCAGCAGTCAGTCAGCTGGAAACAACTAGGGAGTACCTCTCCATGCCCCTCCCCCAGCACTCACACATCCAACACCAAAACCCCAAACTACTGGAGCGCAAGATGGTCTTCACTAACTATTCCAGCCCATACTAGGGTGAGGGGAATGTCAATTTGGAAAGCCAACTGCCCCCAGAGTCAGCCTTCTCCTTTGGGCATTAGCCTATGCTATCTGATTTTCACAATGCCTTTTCCCCTTTGAGGAGTGCCCTTTGAATGCCTA